CTTATATTAAACAGTTAAAGGTATTTTGCGGGTTCTTTCACACCTATTTTGGGGTCTAGACTATACCGAGCCCTTATTCGTAGTTAACTAGACTATGGATTTGAGGCTGATTCATCTGGAACGCCCACTGTTCTCCGGATGTTGGACTAATTAAGCTCTTAGAATTTGTATAAGGGCTTTGAGGTCTCCAACTGTGGAGTCCCTGTAAGCAGAAAGTGGAGAACCACCCCTTTCATTACACCAGGACTACATGAACCTGATTTACTGCACAAGACTACAAAGGATTCCGGGATCTCTTTCATCCAGATGGTTTTCAACCCCCTTGAGGATAGCCGATCCTATGGTGGGAGAATGAGGAATCTTGTAGATGAATATAAAATTGGAAAAAAAACTGTCCTCATTTTTTATATTTTTATGAAATGTCTCTGTTAGTGCTTAGCCACAAAGTTGTTAATTAGTAGACCTTGTAACCTTACCTGATTTCACCGTTCCTTGAATTGGCGGGAAAAACGTATTTTTTACTAATGCTATGAGTATTGATGGTGTTATTTTTATTGTAAATGTTATAATTACTATAATGAAGAAGCATTAGCAAAAGCAAAATAAGATAAAATAATGTATTTTCGTAAATAAAGGAAAACGGTAAACGGGCGAGACAGGCATTACTCCTAACTGGCTCATTGGCTTAATTTAAATCTCACAAAGGTTCCGGCTGTTGGAACTCCCCAATTCCCGCCTTGGATTAATCAAGTCAAGCTGGATTTGGTCGGAATTGGGAAAGGGAAGAGATCCGAAACAGAAATCAGAGAGAGATTTCTTCAAAACACTTCAAAGTACCAAGGATCAGATGCAATATATACAGATGGTTCGAAATCTGAAAACGGTGTGGGCTTTGCAGCAGTGAGCAGAAGGAAGACTGCATTTGGCAGTCTCTCTAGCAGCCTCGATCTTCACTGCAGAGTTACGTGCCATCCTTCCAGCAGTCAAGATGACTAAAGATCTTATGAACAAGTCTATCGTAATATACTGTGACTCTCGTAGTGCCTTGCAAGCAATCAAGAGCTCAGTGGTGAGGGAGGTTCAAGATTGGCATGCACTGATGTCAGCACGTAAAAAGATAACTCTGTGTTGGATGCCAGCACATGTTGGTATCAATGGGAATGAGCAAGCTGATTGGAAGGCCAAGGTAGCTGCCACTCAGTCTTGTGATGTTCGCTTTCCTCTCCCATACACTGACTTGAAACCCAGCATCAGGTGTTGTCTTGACGATAAATGGAGGGAACAATGGAGGTATACTTTTAGAAACAAACTGCGAGAGAATTGAGATGACCTTGGCAGTTGGGTAACCAGCATCCATCCCAACCGAAAAGTAGAAGTTGTATTAACAAGACTGAGTATCGGGCACACATGACTGACTCATGGGCCAGTGATGGCTAAAAGTGAAGCACGCTGTGAGGAATGCCAATAGCCATTAATGGTCACACATATAGTGGAAAGATGTGCAACAGTCTTAGACCAAAGAGGAAGGTACTTGTCTCCCACACATACACTGAAAAATGTAATGAGGGAGGATTGTGAGATAATAGGTCTTATTAGTTTCAACAAAATATTTTCAATAGAATTTAATTATGCATAATGTTTATGCAATGTTTTGATTTATTTTAAATGTAATATTTATTGTTATTTATGATATTTATAGATACATTTTAACATTTCACTCTAACAAGGTGTTCGCCGCTAATGACCTTAGCTGCTGATGCGGCAAATAATTTTAAAGAAACATTCAATCCTCCCTCACTGAGGTGACACAATCTTTAGGTGGTTGTTTCAGAGGGATGAGCAAAATGAAAAGTGCAAGAGCTCCCTCCCTCACTGGGGTGAAGCAACCTTTGGGTGGCTGCTTCAGAGGGATGAGCAAAAGGGTTCCAAACAATGATGTCCTGTAGGTGGAAGGGCATCCCCTCTGGTCTCTCCCCAGGGGTTTACACCTACCCAAGCATTTGCCGTGCGTGGCAGCCTTGTGCGCTGTAGAGACGGGAGTCCTGGAGGCTGAGCGATGCCGTGAATGAGTACGCCCTGCGGCAAGCAATGCGCCTCTTTGGTCCTCTATTCCAGCAAGACAGGCGGCCTGATCCTGGCCCAGTCAAGCCAATCGGCTGGTCTCCTTTGGAAGGCTAGGGTCAACGGTCATGCCGCCGTTGGCACTCACACTGGTGCGTGAGTGCTGTTAGAATGGCTATTGGCTGCGTATATCCTCTCACCACCCCTGTAGCTGTTAGACACTGGCTCTAACATTCAGCTTCCCCTTGTTGACTCCGTGGTGGGCGGGGGCGTGAGAGGATGAAGTAACTGTCCACTACATGGAAAATTAACCCATAATCCCCCACAGAAAGAGATAACTGTTGACGACCCATGCAAGGCCCTGACCATGGCAGTCATTCTGAAGCCATATGTGGCTCCTGGTGGCAAAAGGAAACCCCAGGCACAGCATGACTCTGTC